ACAGACAACCCCGTAACAATATGCGTTTTGTACTGCTGTTACACAGCACAAAACGCATAATAAATTCCTTCCCACATATCGTTTTCTCGCCTTCTCATCACTTCAGCTTATACGACTTGACATATGCCCATCATAAACATGGCGGCTAGGAGGCTGTACTGATGATTCCCACTGCTATCCGCATGCTGCTTTGCTCTTTGTTTACAGCTAAGGGTTGAAACACAGACATGACGTATTTACACTTATCCCTTATCTCCTGTCCAAATATATACACATTTAGCATTAGACGCTATCTGCGACGAAGAAAGCAGTGGAATGAAGGATGCTTGGCGTATCTCTCTGCGACCATATAAACAATCAGACTCTCCGTCAGATGAGCAGCGTGCAGGATGCTGCTGTAAGCATGCGGAAAACAAAATCGGAAGTAGCTCGCTTCTGATGAAGTTGAATTTGTTCAATTTGCAAAACTTAATAGAATTTGGCGCTGCTCTACAAAACTGTAAGATGCAGTTCAAAATCAAATATCCAAGCGCTTTTTTTCTCAACGTTTTTGCACCTTACACAATATCCTGAATATCATATGCAGTGGACACGTCCATCACATAAAAAGACAAGCAAAGATGAAGCTCTAGTTAATGCAATCCCCTCGAAACTTCAAATTTTAAGCCATAAGGGTGGTAAATGACTTCAAAACGGAGCCAGAACCGACGGCCGAGGAAACGTATGGACGAAGTGGGGATCCTGCAGGACAGATCTCAATATGTGGAGTGGGGCAGAAGGAGCTAACCGGCCGCATCAAACCCGGAAAAGCACCCCCACAGTGACCCCAAAAGCCTCAATTCACGCACACACACACATACACACACACATACGTACACACACATACATACTCACACACACACATAACAGCGAAACTGACTTTTGCATATTTCCTGGTGTAAAAATTTAACGGCTTCCCTGTGCCCAAAACCGCGAATTGACGTCTCGCCGGTTATTTCTAGCGATACTTTTGCACTGGGCTGGGGAGATGCAGTCCGAGCGGAATTGTAGGGCCTGGCATAGCTGCACGGGCAGTGTGAGAACATCATCCCAGTAACATCACTAACATGGAATACCTATGGCAATTGTCTGGTCAGGCTTGCTGTCCTTGGTTTCGTCGCAAGTTCCGTTTTTAGAAATTTCAATTTTTGGGGAGAAATATAACGCTTACGATGAAGAGAGATCACACACAGCGAGATTACTAATAGCATTGAAGCTGTCCGGTTGTGGTGCTGAATAGGAATGTGTATGAAGTGGTCCTGTTCCGTCGAACTTTTTTTTAAAATATACATATATCTTCACTACAGTCTCATTGCTTGTAAAATCGGCAGAATGCATCACGGATTAGAAATAATAGACCAACAGGAAACCACAACCTCCCCAAACAGAGCATTCCACATTTTTGCAACTCAAACACTGAAGAGAACAAGCGATTTTTCGTCTTACTATCGCATTCCGGATGACCGCCATCCTACGGACGAGCTATTCACAGTCACCTTGTAGGGCAGGTACTCTGCCCTTGCTGGTCTTTACCTTTCACTGAATGGGCCGTTGTTCCTGTCCCTCAGCTTATTAGCTTTTTCCTTTTGCCTATAGGACTTTTACGGCCCGTATTGCCTTCTCTTTCTCGTTTTACTAACGAAGTTTAGGCTCTATGTTTTCTAGTATTTAGTAGAATTCATTCCCAAATACGAAAATCCCTTCGAATCCGGGCCAACGTTGCCCGAAGACAACTGATGGCAGTGCACTTCCTCCATGATTTTTTGCAGGTTTTGTGGGTTCCGTGGGCATAAATTTGCCAGGCCATGTGAAAAAAAAATGGCGAGGAGAGGACGCAAGCGCACCACTGCTGCTGCTGCTGTAACTGAGGCAAACTCCGAGCTACTGGATATTGCTCGAAATGAGGCCAGGAAAAAAGCAAAAGTGGCCAGCGATGTGCCGGAGGAAGGCCATGGCATAAAGCAATGGGGCAGACGGCCAAAGAGCAAAAAAGCTGATGAAATTTTGGCAAGGAACATGTCCGGTTAGATTTCAAGCATAATAATAAATCGCGGCCATTAAAAGAACGAATAGTAATCTTAAAACAAGCGGACAGTGCAAAGAAATCAAAATGTGAAACGGCCGGAGTCAAAATAAATTACCTTTTTTGTTGAATAGACAGGGCGCTGGGATAGTTACACCTATACGCTACAACTTCTAACAATTGCCACCTGAAGAATCCAGCGCTGGGCTTTTTGTTATTTATTTTGCTTTATATACAAGCATTTATTAATTTACCAAACAGGATAAATATGCTTATTTATTTTTATAAACATATCATACACCTGAGTGCAAAAGAGATAAAAATCCAGGATTAATGAAGTGAATTACAGCAGTTTTTTCTTAACATTAATTTAATCCAGGCGATTTGCCAACAAATCTCACTTCAGTAATTATCGATAGATCTCTTGCCCATCTGTACTTGGTGTTTTTTTTTTCTTAAAGATTTTTTTCTTAGGGATTTTCCTCGAGGATTTTCCCCCGTTTCTCCTGCTTTTTCATCCCTCTACTCCTCCAGCCATAATTCTTCTGAAGCATGCTCAGAGGGACGAGATTGGGAAAACCACTGGCAGATTTATCAGTGTGTGATTTGATTTTTCACACAGACAATAAAATATTTCTCAAGATTTTGCCATTTGAAGTCATCCAGTACTATTCGAATATCTTAATTTCCTTGGCAACAAAAACCAATCAAAATTTTAGAAGTCGATGACGATGATGGGGGCGAAAAACCGACCAGAATGGTGGAGCAGACAGGAAGTGAAACGAATGAACGAAAAGAAGCTATCAAGGAAGAGCCTATAGAACTAATTGGCCAAACAAATAATGAAGAGACGCAAGTCAGTAGAAAGAAGTTGCGCCAACGAATGCCGAAAAAGGCAGCTAATGATGACGATTCAGCGAGCAGCATAGAAGTGAACTTTGGTTAGTTATTTCTGTAAGCAGTTTGGCGCTATTTCATGTAATATCAAAGCAAATATTTCTTGTTGGGAATGCGATTTTCTTTTGCAAAAAATATTGACCAGTAAGTAATCAAATTCCC